CACAATGGAAAACAATATGGTGTTACCTCAAAAAATTAAAAATTGAACTTCCATTTGACCCAGTGATGCCACTTCTAGGAATATACCCTAAGAAGCCTGAAACACCAATCAGAAAGAACATATGTACACCCATGTTTGTAGCAGAACCATTTACAATAGCTAAGATCTGGAAACAGCCTAAGTCTCCATCAGTAGACGAATGGATAAAAAAACTGTGGTACATATACACAATGGAGTACTATGCAGCTGTAAGAAAAAAAGATCTCTTATCCTTTGAGACTACATCGAGGGACCTGGAACGTATTATCCTAAGCGAATCAAGCCAAACAGAGAAAGACAAGTATCATATGATCTCACTTATTTGTGCAGTATAATGAACATAACAGTCTGAGGAATGGGGTAGTTCCAGAGACGTGGAAGTGCGGTATAAGACTGACAATCCCCAGAAGAGTGGGTGGTAGGGGAGAGATAAACCACAGAACTTATATGCTTGTATTCCTGAATAATGGACATGGACAACAAAGCTGGGGATAGGGCAGGGAGGGAAGGGGAAGTGGGAATCAGTGGGGGGAAAAGGAAAAACATCTGTAACTAACATAAATTAATTAATTAATAAAAAATAAATGAATTTGGCAAAGTAGCAGGATACAAAATTAATGTCAAGAAATTAATGCATTCTTATATAACAATGACCAATGATGAACTCACAGAAAGAGAAACTAAACAAAAATACCATTTACCATCGTGGCAAAAAAATTATGATACCTAGGAATAAACTTAACCAAAGAAATAAGGGACTTATTTTCAGAAAACTACAGTCATTGAAAAGGGAAAAAGAGGAAGATATAAAAAAGTGGAAGCACATACCTTGTCCATGGATTGGAAGAATTAACATCATTACAATGTCCATATTACTCAAAGCAATCTATAGATTCAGTGCAATCCCCATTAGAATACCAATGACATACTTCACAGACCTAGAATAAACACTTCAAAAGTTGATATGGAACCAAAAAAAGACCTTAAATGGCCACAGCAATCTTGAAAAAGAAGAACAAAGTTGAAGGGATCACATTACCAGATTTCAGATTATACTACAAAGCCACCGTAATCAAAACAGCCTGGTACTGGCACAAAAATAGGCATATAGACCAGTGGGACAGAACAGAGAACCCAGAAATGGACCCAAAGCAATATATTCAATTAATATTTGACAAAGGTGGCAAGAGCATGCAGTGGGGTAAAGACAGCCTCTTTAATAAATGGTGTTGGGAAAATTGGACAGCGACATGCAAAAAAATAAAACTAGACCACCAACTTACACCATACACAAGAATAAAATCAACATGGATAAAAGACTTAAATGTGACTCATGAATCCATAAAAATCCTAGAAGAAAATGTAGGCAACAAAAGTTGACATCATATGCAGCAGAATTTTCACTGACACATCACCTAAGGCAACAGAAACAAAGGAGAAGATGAACAGATGGGCCTACATCAAACTCAAAAGCTTCTGCACAGCAAAGGAAACCACCACCAAATGGAAACGTAATCCACTGTATGGGAGAGCATAACTGCCAACAATACATCAGATAAGGGGTTAATTTCCAATATATATACTGTGCTCATACAACTCAACAAAAGGAAGACAAAGAACCCAATTAAGAAATGGGCAGAGGACCTAAATAGACACCTTTCCAAACAGGACATACAAATGGGTAAGAGACATAAGAAAAAATGCTCAATATCACTAATCATCAGAGAGATGAAAATTAAAACAAAAATGAGGTATCACCTCACACCTGTCAGAATGGCCGCCATGAACAAATCATCAAACAAGTGTTGGCGAGGGTGTGGAGAAAAGGGGACTCTAGTACACTGCTGGTGGGAATGCAGACTCTGGTGCAGCCACTATGGAGAACAATATATTACCTCAAAAAATTAAAAACTGAACTTCCATTTGACCCAGTGATCCCACTTGAGGAATATACCCTAAGAAGCCTGAAACACCAATCAGAAAGAACATATGTACCCCCCATGTTCACAGCAGCACTATTTACAATAGCTAAGATCTGGAAACAGCCCAAGTGTCCATCAGTAGACAAATGTATAACAAAGCAGTGGTACATATACACAATGGAGTTCTATGCAACTGTAAGAAAGAAAGATCTCTTATCCTGAGATGACATGGAGGGACCTGGAAAGTTATTATCCTTAGCAAAACAAGCCAAGCAGAAAAAGACAAATACCACCTGATCTCACTTATTTGTGGAATATAGTGAACATAATAGTCTGAGAAATTGGGTAGTCCCAGAGATGTGAAAGTGGGGTACAGACTGACAATCCCCAGAAGAGGGGAGGGAGAGATAAAGCACATAATTTATATGCATGTATGCATGAACAATGGACATGGACAACAAAGCTGGGGACAGGGCGAGGAGGGAGAGGGAGTGGGCAATCAGTAGGGACAAAAGGAGAAACATATATAACAAAAATAAATTTAAAAAAATAGTAAAAAAGAATACTGAAACACTAATCAGAAATAATGTATGCATCTCTATGTTTATAGCAACTTTTATATACATTATCCAAGATCTGGAATCAGTCAAGCACCTATCAGCAGATGAGTGGATAAAAGAAGCTATGGTACGCTTATGCAATGTGGCTATAAAATAGAAGGAACTCTTATACTTTGCAACAGCATGGATGGACCTGGAGAGTATTATGCTAAGCGAAATACGCTAGTCAGAGAAAGACAAATACCATTAGATATCTCTAATATGTGGAGTCTAATGAATGAACAAAACTGATGAACAAAATGAAACCAGAAGCATAGACACATGGATCAGACTGGCTGGTATCTGAAAGGATGTGGGTGTGCATGACTAGATAAAGAAGGTGAAGAGATTAGCTAAATAACATATATGCATACCCCATGAACACCGACAATAGTTTGTTGACGGGCAAGAGAGGGGGAGTTGGTGGGGAGTAGAGGTGGGCAAATGGCAGGGGGTTGGAAGGGGGACACCTGCAATAATGTCAACATTAAAATTTTTTATTAAAATGAAAACATTCTTAAATCACTACCTAGCCCAACTGGTATAGCTGAGTGGATTGAGCATCGTCCCCTGGACAGACAGGTTCCTGTTTGATTCCCAATCAGGGCATATGTCCAGGTTGTGGGCTCGATTCCCAGTGGGGAGTGTGTAGGAGGCAGCTGATCAATGTATCTTTCTCTCACATCAATATTTCTGTCTCTCTCTCCCTTCTTCTATCTCTAAAAAATAAAAACATGTTTAAAAAATAATAAAATAAAATAAAAACACTACCTAATCAATCAATTTATCAACAGACAAGAAGTGCTGTTGAGGATATGGAGAAAAACGATCCCTGGTGCACTGTTTGTGGTAATGCAGACTGGTGCAGCAACTGTGGAAAATAGTATAGAGCTTCCTCAAAAAATTAGAAATGAAACTCCCTCTTTGATCAAATGATCCCATTTCTGGGAATATATCCTAAAAATTTGGAAGCACCAATTTGAAAGAATATAAGCACTCCTATGTTCATAGCAGCATTATTTAAAATAGCTAATATCTGGAAACTGCCCAAGTGCCCATTAGTAGATGAGTGCATTAAAAAACTGTGGTACATTTACACAATGGAATACTATGCAGTTATAAGAAAGAAGGAAATCTTACCCTTTTCGACAGATAGCATGGATGGACCCGGATATTATTATGCTAAGTCAAATAAACAAGTCAGAGAAATACAAATACCATATAATCTCACTTATATGTGGAATCTAATGAACAAAATAAACTCAACAAAACAGAAACAGAGGCATGGATACATAGAACAGACTGACAGCTCCCAGAGGGGGAATTGGGAGAAGGGTACTAGATAACATAAGGCGAAGGAATTATCCAAAAGAACATATATGCCTAACCCATAGACACAGATAACAGTGTGTTGATGGCCAGAAGGAAGGGGTGGTAGGAGCTGGGTGAAGGTGGGCAAATGGTGGGGATAATTGGAAGATAATTGGAACATCTGTAATAATGTCAACAATAAAAATAAAGTAAAAAATAAAATATTAAAAAATGATATAAAAAAGGCATTTCATGAAAGCATCTATATTTTTCCAAACAGAAATATATCAACTGAGAAGATGGTATTGTTTTACATTTTTGCCAATCTCTTTAATGTCTAACAAGAGAAAAGGTCTGGATTCCTATATATAGTACTCTATCAATCAATTTGTAATAGTATCATGCCTAAGTATATGGAGAAAATCTGATCTCACACAGACATGTAATTGAGAAATGGAAAAAAAAAAAAAAAAAGGCAATGCCAGGCCATGTCAGAATTTCATTTCTTTAATGAAAGCTCTCAGGAAAGGTGGCCAGAAAAGGAGTCCAGAATATGGTGTAGAATATAAGGAGTTAATCCAAAGGTGACTACAAGAGTAGGAGACTCCAGGATGCTTATTTCTTATTATTAATGGAGGTGCACAAAGAATTACCAATATAAAGTAAATAGCCAAATATAAGGCAGATCCAATATTTTGGACACAGCCAATGTCTTTGTTACCCGTGGAAGGAAAAAGGAGGCTAGCATGTTCTATTTGCTCCACAAAATGCTCTTCCCTCCAAGAACCTTTCCCTCCATCCTTTTTTAAAAGAGAGGTTTCATTATCAACTTCCTGGGAAAAACAATGTCTAGTTTGCTAAGATTTCACAACGGAAAATTCTACGTATTAGATTGGGACAGTGGCATAACTATGCTTAAGATTTTTAATACACTTTTTACCTAAACCCACCAAGCAATTAAATCTCATTTGAAAAAAAAAAGATATTTTTATTGTTTGTGGATGTATAATAAATTAAACTGGCGCTCAGTCAGAGAGTCTTAAGTAGAAATAAATCAAAGCTCACACATTATAGAGCTAGGAAATAAGCCAGCTGGCATCCTGGCCTCACCAGTTACACATGAACTCACCTGTGAAGAGAAGAGACCCTTTCAGCAGTTCTTTCCCGACCACTTCTTTTTTCAGAAATACAAACTCTTCCATCAAGAGCTCAACATGTTCCTCATGCAAGACTTTCCCTGTTATGACAAAAATAAAGTAAAAAGGCAGTCATCATCAATTGTGTAGAGCTGTGCATCCCAGAGTCTAAATCTGTCTTCTCCCAGCACCAAAGGACATACGGACCTTGAAATCAATCTGGGAACTAATTACACCTTTGAACATCCCAGCTGTAGGTAGTGCCAATTCTAAAATTACAACAGAAATAAAAATCTAAGAAAGCAAGATGATATCCACCTGCCTCAAAGGCAAGTTAAAATCAGGGAAGAATCAGAAGAGAATAGTGTAGCATAAAAATTTAAGACACACACACAAAAAAAATCGTCAACATTAAAGAAGAAGGAGCCAAAGTTAGACTTTATTTCAAAGAACTGAAAGAAGCATATGACATTTTAAATTATGTGGGTTAGAGGGAAGATAAAATCTTAATATTCATTAAATTGTTTTGAAAAGCTGTTTAAACATTTTTGCTCTAGTGGTTCTTCATATCTCAGCCAGAAATTTCATGACATACCCAGACCATTTTGTGATTAAGTACAAAGTGTGGTTATGATCTACACCTTCACTGAAACACAGAGAGAAATCTGGGCTACTGAAAGATAACTCCTGGGACATCAGCTTTTGTTTAACTCACATTCACAGAAAACAAGCCAGAATGTTTTGCACCTCACTGAGTGAGCAGGAATATCTTCCGAGTCTCAAGAGAGTTAGGTGTATGGGAGAGTGAGATTCCTCCCACCCAACCCCTTACCCATAAATAATACCAGACCTTCTTACAATAAGTAGCAGTTCTCTCCTACTAGAAAAATTCTGTCCATATGTGCATGTTTATGAGTGGAGGCTGGGCATTTGGGAAGTTAAACCATGTTTCAGAGCATATTGTATTTTCTCTAGCACTATTTCTACATGTCCATTTCTGTATTTCCATATCCATGGTCATTAAGAAGACTTTTACCTTTCAAATTACCTTTCAACTGCATCAATTATTTTTCTGTCATTCACTCAGTGATCTATTGTGATAAATGTGGCCAATACAGTATACAAATATACACATGAATACACACACAAACACACATTCATATACATATTTTCTCAGGTCACTTCACTGAAAGGACTTAGAAGCCAAGATACCTGAAAAGCAAAAGCAACGAGCAAACCAAGCATACAAATCTTGGTATCAAAATATCATTTATTTCACTGATGGTGGAAATGTAAATTGACACAGCCACTGTGAAAAACAGTGTGGAGGTTCCTCAGAAAACTAAAGATAAAATTAACTTATGATCCAGCAATTCCATTTGCAGGTACTTATCTGAAGGAAACAAAAACACTAACTTCAAAAGATATATGCACCCCTATGTTCATTGCAGCATTATTTATAATAGCCAAGACATGGAAGGAATCTAAGTGTCCAATGATGGATGAATGGATAAAGAAAATGTGATTACACACACACACGAATATTATTTAGCCATAAGAAGAAAATTTTGATTCCAAAATGGCGGCAGAGTGAGCAGAAGCTACACAGACTGCCTCCCAGAACAAAACTGGAATTACAACTATAACACAGACAAATCGACAGGAAAAACCAACAGAAAAGCAGCTTGCGTAGACCATATAACCAAGGACACTGACTTGATCCTGGTAGGCTTGCGAAGGTGCAAGACAGGAGCTGGGAGACCACAGACAGCAGCTGGCAGAAGCCTCAGCTGTGAGCAGTGCCCTCGGGTTACACTTCCAAGCGGCTCCACAGCGCAGAGCTGGGACAGAGGCTAAAAAAGCCACAGCCACTCACCTTGGGCTCCGGCAGAGTAAGGGCAGACTGGACTGGAACTGTGTCAGTACACTTGGGGTTTGGAGGGCACACAGAGCTTTTGCTGAGTGGCAGCCACGCAGGACAGTGGCCATATTGCTCTTCCCAGGGCTCTGGGCAGAGGCAGCAGCCCCTCCCTCAGAGATACAACCCCACCCTGTGGGCCATTGAAGTGCTAATTGAAGCTTATAACAACCAGCATCTGCCTCACCCTCGTGAAATCCCCTTATGCTGAGCACCTGAGGGAGGTTTTCAATTGACTGACAACACAAAACTCTTCAAGTAACCTCGACTGCTAGCCTCCAGGCAAAAAGCTAGAGGATAACAGTACCTTTCCTGGGCTAGCAACTTTAACCATGAAATTGAGACGACAGTGGTGTTTAAAGGGGGTCGTCCCTCGCTATTCTAAACCCAGGAGAGGGAGACACAAACTGCAGAACACCAACACCCACAGGGAAAACTTGACAGGCTCCAAAGCCCACAGTGATAGCCAAAATGGTGAAACACAGAAACAGAAGCCAAATGAGAGAGCAACAGACATCCACTGAAGATGAGATCACTGTGGGGCAATTAGGCATGTTAACAGAGCTAGAATTCAGAGGCATGATCTTGAGGAAGCTCAACAGCATGAGTAAGGACACAGAGACACTGAAAATAAGCCAATTGGAAATTAAAAACCATCAAGAAGAGATAAAAAATGACATATCAGAAATGAAAAACACATTGGAAGGTTTAAAAAGCAGAGTAGAGGAAGCTGAGGACCGGATCAGTGGAATAGAAGACAGGCTAGAAAAACCAATCGGAAAAACAAAAGGAAAAACGATTAAAAAACAGGAAGACAGCTTAAGAGAACTATGGGACAACTGGAAACGTAATAATATTCACATCATAGGAGTCCCCGAAAAAGAAGAAAATGAGCAAGAGATAGAGAATACATTCAAAAAAATAAACACAGAAAACTACCCTGATTTGATGAAGGAAGAAGGCATTCAAGTTCAAAAAGCCCAGAGAAGTCCAAGTAAGAAGAACCCAAACAGGCCCACACCAAGACACATAGTAATTAAAATGCCAAAAATTAAAGACAAAGAGAGAATCCTAAAAGCAGCAAGAGATAAGCAACAGGTTATCTACTAAGGAAACCCCATAAGGCTCTCAGCTGACTTCTCACAAGAAACGCTACAGACCAGAAGGGAATGGCATGAAGTAAGCAAGGTCATGAAAAACAAGAATCTGAATCCAAGACTACTCTACCCAGCAAGGCTATCATTCAAAATACAAGGTCAAATAAAAACCTTCCCAGACAAAAAAAAAAAAGGCTAAGGGAATACATTAGCACCAAATCAGCACTGCAAGAAATGTTAAAAGGACTGCTGTAATTAGCAGTAGAAATGAAAAGAAAAATAGAACCACACTAAACAAAAATGGAAATAAATAAGTACATATCAATAATCACCTTAAATGTAAATGGACTGAATGCTCGATAAAAAGATGCAGAGTAGCTGATTGGATAAGAAAGCATAACTCATCTATATGTTGTTTACAAGAGACCCACCTCACAACAAAAGACTCACATAGTTGAAAGTGAAGGGATGGAAAAAAATTTTTCAAGCAAGTGGAAAGCAAAAAAAAGCTGGGGAAGCAATACTCATATCTGATAAAATAGATTTCAAAATGAAGGCCATAATTAGAGAAAAAGAAGGCCACTACATAATATTGAAAGGATCTATCCAACAGGAAGATATGACCTTGAAAAACATATATGCCCCCAATATAGGACCACGAAAATATATTTAAAATCTTCTGGAGGACTTCCAAGGAGAAATCGACAGCAATACAATCATAGCAGGGGACTTCAACACTCCATGGACAACACTGGACAGATCCTCCAGACAAAATATTAGCAAGGAAACAGAGACTGTAAATGAAGCACTAAACGAAATGGATTTAATAGATATCTACAGAGAATTACACTCCAAAACTATAGAATACACATTCTTCTCAAGTGCACATGGGACATTCTCAAAGAAAGACCACATGATAGGACACAAACTAAATCTCTACAAGTTCAAGAAGATTGAAATCATATCAAGCATCTTCTCAGATCACAATGGCATGAAACTAGAAATCAATTGCAACAAGAATATGCAAAAACATTTCAACAAATGGAGGCTAAATACCATATTATTAAACAATGAATGGGTTACTGAGGAGATCAAAAAAGAAATTAAAAACTTCCTGGAAACCAATGAAAATGAACACACAACAACATAAAATCTATGGGATTCAACGAAAGCAGTTCTGAGAGGGAAGTTCATAGCACTACAGGCCTACCTCAAGAAGCAAGAAAAATTTCTAATTGACTGTCTAACCTCACAACTTAAGAACTAAAGAGCAAACAAAAAGAAAACCCCAGAGCAAGTAGAAGGAAGGAAATAGTAAAGATCAGAGCAGAAATAAATGACATAGAGACCAAAAAAACAATTCAAAGGATCAATGAAACAAAGAGCTGGTTTTTCGAAAAGATAAACAAGATTGATGGACCCTTAGCTAGACTCACCAAGAAACAAAGAGAGAGAACCCAAATACACAAAATCAGAAATAAAAGAGGAGAAGTAACAACTAACACCACAGAAATACAAAAGATCGTTAACAGCTACTATGAACAACTGTATGGCAACAAATTTGACAATCTATGTGAAATGGACAAATTTCTAGAAACACACAATCTCCCAAAACTGGACCAATAACTGGGAAGAGATAGAAAACTTGAACAGACCAATAACAACTAAGGAAATTGAAGAGGTAATCAAGACTCTCCCAGCAAACAAAAGCCAAGGCCCAGATGGCTTCACGGGGGAGTTTTACCGAACATTCAAAAAAGAACTAACACCCATTCTCCTCAAACTATTTCAAAAAATTCAAGAAGAAGGAAGACTTCCAAACACGTTCTATGAGGCCAGCATAATTCTAATCCAAAACCAGAAAAAGACACTACAAAGAAAGAAAACTACAGGACAATATCCCTGATGAACATAGACGCCAAAATCCTGAACAAAATATTAGCAAATTGGATCCAGCAATACATTAAAAAAATTATTCACCATGACCAAGTGGGATTCATCCCAGGGATGCAAGGCTGGTACAATATTCGCAAATCAATAAATGTGATAAACCACATGAACGAAATGAATAAAAAACACATGATCA